AAAGGGCTAATTTTAAAAATCTATAAAACGACATCTTTCTAAGGAAAATATAAATAACCCAATTTTTTAAATGTACACAATTTGTGAAAGATGACATCCAGGTGACCAATAAACTTATGAAGAAATGTTTGATTCATTAGCCATAAGAGAAATACAAAATAAAACAGCAATGAGATACCACCTCAAATTGACAGTCGTAGCAAAAATCCATAAAACTGAAAATAAATGCTAGCGAGGATGCAGAGAGATTAGAATGGTCATCCATTGCTGGTGGGATGCTGTATTGTATAGCCACTATGGAAGGCTGTTTGGTACTTCCTTAAACAAATGCAAATACAACTACCTTACAATCTGCAATCTTGGTATATACTCTAAAGACATAAAGAACAAACCATGAAACTTCTATTAATAGCAAAAAAATGGAAACTATCAAAAACCCTGTGTGTGGAGGAATGGATAAACACACTGGTACATTCATACAATGGGATAGTATGCACCCTTAAAAAAACAGTGAATTTGTCAAATACCTCATGACATGGAGAAAATTATAGGACATTATGCTCAGCAAAGTTAGTCAATCTCATAAGGATAAATATGGTATGACATCATTATTATAAAGGAAAAATTTAAAATAATGTTTTTCATGCCAGAGGATGTTATTTTAAAGCTTACGATGAGGCCAGAGTTGGGGGCCCCGGGTGTGGGAGGGAAGGGATAGGAAGGAGGGAGGGTGGGAAAAGTAAAAGGGCCACATTGATGGGATTTGATTGGATACTGTCACGGAGCTGCTCGAATGAGCTGTGCCACTTCATAGAATACTTTTCTTTGGCTGTATTACATTCCACAAACAAAAGGGAAAATAAAATTGAAAACATGTTAAAATTTAAAAAAAATTAAAAGACAGAGAAGGGTCAGTCTTAAAACCCTCCATCACACCCAACCCATCACACCCGAACTCCGTACCCATCACACCCAAACTCCGTACCCATCACACCCGAACTCTGTACCCATCACACCCGAACTCTGTACCCGTCACACCTCCATCTGCCATACCCATCACACCTGAACTCTGTACCCATCACACCTCCATCTGCCGTACCCATCACACCTGAACTCTGTACCCATCACACCTGAACTCTGTACCCATCACACCTCCACCTGCCATACCCGTCACACCTGAACTCTGTACCCATCACACCTGAACTGTCTCAGGGGCTTTGAAGGAGGAAAAGGAAACATGAAAGTCACTTGAATTCTTTTGTAATATACAAGTTATTTTCCAACAAACAAACAAAGAAATCACAGTTCACTGCTTTGGGCAAGGCGGTTGCACAAGCCCTATTTAAAGTATTGCCAAACAAAGAGGCACGGTGAGGACTCAGGGTATTTTCGGCTGCCTCATCTGCATGTGGACGCTGGACAATGAGAAGACCTTAGAAGAGCAGATGCATTTGCATTTGATGCTGGCAACGGACATCGCGAGTACCACGGACTGCCGGAAGAGCAAACAGCTCTGTGGGCACATAATCAAGAGAGCTTGGTCCCTAGGAAAGGCTTGGGAAAGTAGAAGGTTCGAGAAACAGGAGGAAGAGCCTATATGAAATGGGTTGACAGTGGCTACAACCACAGGCTTAAACCTAACACATGTGGAGCAGCGTGCATTTTTGGTACATGGGTTGCTAAGAATTAGGGCCCTCACACCTAACGCCACCACCATTTTGCATAAGGGAGTTGAGCATCTTTGAAACACACACACACACACAGCAGATACTGAGGGACGAGCAGTTTTATATAATTAAAATAAACATAAGCCTTTCTAGCAGAAAGTCCGTGTACTATTCAGCTGACCCTGACTCATGGTCAGCTCACTTAACAGAGTAGAACTGCCCTGTAGGGTGTCCTTGGTTATGACCTTTCCTGGAGCGAGTAGACTAATGTTTTCTCCCACTGCACAACTGGTAGGCTTGAAATTCAAATGTCTGCTTAGCAGCCAAGTTAATCAAGCACCATTAGGGCTCTTAGTACAAAGTATAAACAGCAACAAACCCCTCCCCTGCAAACTCACTGCCATTGAGTCTTTCCCAACGGATAGTACCCTACATAGCAGTGCTTCTCCACCTGCGGGTCATGACCCCTCAGGGGTCGTCCAACTCCTAACAGTAGCAGAGTTACAGCTAAGAAGTAGCAACTAAAATAATGTTATGGTTGGAGTCACCACATGAGGAACTGTATGAAAGGGTCGTGGCGTGAGGAAGGTGGAGAACCCCTGCACAGGCTTTCCAAGGCTGTAAATCTTTATAGGAGCAGATCCAGTTCCCCCAACAGGCGCCTGGTTAGTTAGCAATGCAAAGCTCACTCAATAGAGCTACCCTGGCTCCTAATGGAAAAATAAGGTATGGGATATATGAAGGAGCATCCAAAAATTCAAGGGAAAATGGAATGAAAAGAAAATATAATTGTCCACGAACTTTTAAAAGCCTATATGAAAAAACAAAGTATAATATTTTATAATTGCAATTAACAGTACACTTAAAAGGGTTAAATTCACCTATCAAAACAATGACAAGGATTTTCTGTACGGTAAACAAAACCCCATCTCCTGACACCCAAGCAAGAAACTAACACTATTACTTTAGGAAAAGATGGGAAGAGAGATTGTTCTCTGCAAATGCTCGAGTACCTTTTGAATGCTGAGTGTATTATACCTATTCAAAAGTCATGCTCTGAAATGATGTGGATATAAAGAAAAATCATACTAGATATTTCAAATTAAAAAATTATTAAAATACTACATACGAAAATTTTGGGTTGAAGCTAATAGAATTGGAGAGAAAAGTATAAACTTCTATTCTTAAATTAGAAAAGTCGATGATAACTAGTGAACAGTGTGCATTATAATTTTTTTTTTGGTAGCAGAATAAACCCAAACAGAAGGGATCAGAAATAGGACCAAAAGTTGATAAAGGAGAAAACAAACTATAGTACAGTCTATAAAACCCAAACCCAAAATCAACCTGGTTTCATATCGAACTCACCTCCAGTTCCCGAGACCGTTTTCCACAGGTGCAGCTTCCTCTTCCCCTTACACATATGTTCAGTTCTTTAAAACCAACAAGGCTTAAGAAAAGCAGCCAGACGGGCACGTTAGCGGGAAACAAAAGGAACTATAGCGGCCCTTCAAAGAGATGCGCCACCTCAGTGATAGCAAGACTGTGGTACCAAGTTTCCACTAGCAGATTGGCCTAAAGTATTAATATGAGGTTGGCTTGAGAAACCATGCAAGGCTAGGTCTTGTCTTTCTTTAAAAGGGGGATAAAAATCAAAGCCAAGTGACTTGCAAAGCTTCTAATGTTTCGGACTGCAAAACATACGCTTAACCACTGAATGCTACTGTTTCCCACACGAGCCAAGAATTAAATGCTAGAGATCTTAAAGCAGGGTTCCTAACATCAGCACTGACAATTTAGGCTGGAGGTTTTCCTGAGCACCCCAAGATGCTCAGCAACTTCAACCCGTTAGATGTCAGAAGCACCTGCCTAGCTGTGACCACCCCAAACGTCTCCAATTGACATCGATGGTCCTAGATTAAGGAACCCACATGGCATAGTGGGTTACAAGTCAGGCTAACTGGAAGGTCAGCAGTTCAAACCCACCAGGTACTCCTTAGGAGAGAGATGAGGCTGCGCCAATACCCTCTCAGAAACCCTGAAGAGTAGCTCTGCTCTGCCCGACAGGAGTGCTTGTTTTGGCCTAGAGTTTCTTAGCTCCCAATAATAATTCTCTTTTGGCCACAATGTTAGCGAAAACATAGTTATTATTTAAATGTCTTACAATAAACACACATTATCTCTATTCAGGAACTAAGCGGCATGGGAAAAAAATCACAGCACACTGTAGAAAAGAATATTTTATTCAAACAGTTTCTCAATTAACAATGGAGCGAATACAACTTTGACTCAAACCTCACCCGCTAGAGAAGAACTCCAACACACAAGGGGAGGGGAGGGGCCATTTCTGCCAATGTGGCAAAAAAGAAAAAAAAGAAGGGAGTGGGGTAAGACAGCTCTGGCAGCTGGGGGAGGGCACCCTGGCTCCTGCCACTGACGGAATACTGGGGGATGGGTTCCCTGGGGGCCAGGGAGCCTGCCAGAGCACTGCAAGCCAGAAGGTCTGCCCTCCACCTCTTCCCCTGAAGGCTTGCCTCAGAGACACCGGCTGGCACTGCTACCCTCACACCACGCTCTCTCCTTTCCCCAGGGGCTTGGGAAGGAAGGGGCTCACAGTAGAAAGCACATTTTGGTTAGCCCAGGTGAGGCGCAAACATGTCTGGGAGGACAGAGTAACAGGAGCGAGCGGGGCCTGGGACAGCCAGCCCCTGGAGAGGAACCAGTTTTTGATGGTGCCCAGGACAGCTTGCCGGCCACCTAGCCTCCTTCCTGGGTCCCACAGTCAGTGATGGCATCTACAGGGAAGGCCTTTCTACCTCATTTCCGTCCTAGGGGCTGGATGCCCTGTTTTCACTTTCTCTGCCTACTCTGGGCAGGAAGAGATCTGCTTAACTTTCCGTCAGTCTGGGCGAAAGAGCTCTGGGCAAGGGGCAAATAGCTGCTGGACTTCTCGGGGCCGCCGGCTGGGGTCCTGGCGTGGCAAAGGCCTCAGAGGGGAAGAGACAAGAGACTCAGAAACCAAACCTGTAAACCAGGCTCTGCAGACCCTGGCCTCCAAGCTCTCTTGCCAAGCAGGCACAGGACCCTGATTTAGTGGCGGGAGCAGAGGGGAGGGCAGCTGGGAGAAGACAGGTGCCTCTCCACTACCCAGGCCCCCTTTCTGCTGCCAGGACTCATTCAACCCACCTCCCCACAGGCAAAGAATGAAGACGTAATAGTGATTTTCCCCAAAGTGAGGGCCTGCGTGGTGGGCAAGAGGTGGGCTTGGGGAATAGAACGACTTCAGAAAGATGTGGAGAACTGTCCTGTCTTGTCTCCCCCGCCCCCCCCACCTCCATCCATAGGTGACAGAAGGGCTGGAGACCCTGGGGCAGGTCCCTCCTCTCCCCCACCCTCAGTGTTTAATAAATAGAGGTGGTGGGAGAAGAGGGTATGGGAGATGGGAAACGGAGGAGGTGGGGTTATAGCTCGTCGTTCTTCTTAGTCCGCTGCTGCTCCCCTGGCTGCTCTTTCTGCTCGGATTCTGTCAGGCGGGAGAGGGGAGGGGAGGGAATGGCGGCGGTGAGACAGGGAAATGGGACCTTCTCCCTGAGGCTTCCCAGCAGGCCCCAACCCTTCCTTCACCTGCTCCTGGACCTTCTAACTCCAGAGGCTCAGCATCGGTCGATTCCGTTCCTGCTTTTTGGAAGAAAGGTTGGTCAGTCTCCAAGGAAGGGGCTACTGGGGGGTTGGGGTGGGTCAGCAAGCTTGTCCTATAAAGACCCAGGTAATAAATATTTCAGGATCTGTGGGTCATGTTTGGTCTCTTTGCACACCGTTATTTTCATTAATTGGGAATTAGCATATACATCATTCCACAGTCCAATCATGTTAAGCAGAATTGTACAATTGCTAACCACAACCAATTTCCAAACAATCTCTTTCTTCCTGGACTTGACATCGTCTCCCCCTTACCCCCACCCTACTGTACCCCAATCTCCCAAAAACCCTTATTCTACGTGCTGTCCCCATAGGTTCATCACTTCGGGGTTTCATATACCAAAACACAAGTCCGCTTTATGCCTCTGATCACATTACTAGTAATATTAAACACCCTTAAAAAACATAGAGACCAATCAATCACAGCTTGTGGCTGCACAGACACAGCCATGCTATAGCTAGCTAACCTCTGACCTAACGTCATGTCCACATTCCCAGGCAGCAGGCCCGACTCACCTGTCTCTACCTGCTCGGGCTCTGGAATGGGCTTTGCGTCTTCAGTCTGGTCTGCAGGGAAAGCGGGAGTCCAATGTAGGCAGAGGCGGCAGGGAGGCCCTCTCTCCTGTCCAGCAGAGCCTGCCGTCACGGACCCTGCTCTCACCTGGTGGCGGGATGACCTTCTCTCCCTGGTCCCCAGCACTGGCGTTGATGGGAGGCTCTGCCCGGGTCCCATTCTTGTCCTTGGGCCGGGGCCGAGGCTTGGCAAACTTGGCCTTATTGAGCAGATACTGCACTTCGCGGTCCAGGGCCATCATCTTGGCCTCGATGTCCTTTGAGAGCAACACGGGCTTCTCTGTGGCGGGCAGCTTGGCCTGCTCAGCCACAGTCGTGTTCTTCCAGGCCTGGGGGAACAGTGGGCTCAGAGCTGGCCATGGAGAGGGCCGATATGCCCAGCCCAGAGGAACTATACTCCAGCCAGTGTCAGGATCCCTCCGTCTTGCCCATCAGCCCCACAGGCTTGCCACTGCTGCAGTCACCTCCAGGACTCCCAACCACCTTCCCAGCTCAAGCCTTCTTACTCTGGGCTAAGGGCTACCCTGACTCTTCCCCTTCGGTCTTTCCACTTGAGCTCTGGATCAAACAAGAGCCCCTGGACAGTCAAGGGTTTCTGGCTCCAGCCCTGGCTCCTCCAAGCAGCTTCCTTTGGCCTCCGGGGTGAAGGCCTTGCTGCTCCTGCAACCCCATGCCTCGTACAATCCTTGCCCACCAATGCCCACGCCTTGCCCCCTCTGTTAGAGACTCAGCCGGGAGGCCATGGCTGCTGGGTATCCATGCACCACCCCTCCCCCTCCCCTGGACGGCACAGCTAAGGGAGAGCAGCCATTACCCAGGTCTCGTTGATGACGTTCTCCAGCGTTGCCATTTCCACCTGGGTGAAGACCTGGTCCATCTCCGGGAGGAGCCGGGCCCCTCTGGAAGCCA